CCTAGTCCACCACATGGTATTCTAAATACAGCTGCCTATAGATTTCATTGAATCCATCCTGGTCCCAAAACAAGATTTTGCTGCTGTTGCATTGAGCACAGCATAAAGGTGCTCTCTGAACCTTGGTGGACATGACATTATAGCAAGAACAAACATTTGTCTGGAAACTGGCTACATTGTTACTACTACTTAGCAGCACAGTATCCATAAAAGAAACTAAAGATCATGCTTGCATCATATTACCTACAATTGAAATGATCATGACTTCCCCACAAAGTAACAGACTACTGACAAGAGTGAAACAAAAAAGTCTATATATAGCATGACAAATAAAGCTGCGTGGCTGATACTGAACACTGATAGATACTAGCTAACTACACACACTAAATTGTAACAATGTCTTAAGGGTATCAGTTAAGGGCATCAGTTAAGCAACAGAAAGTACTGACAGAAGTGAAACAAAAAAGCATATATATATATACATATATATATATATATATATATATATATATATATATATATATATATATACACATATAACATGACAGATAAAGCTGCATGGCTGATACTGAACATTGACAGAAACCAGCCAAATACAGAGAACAAATTGGTAACAATGTTTTAAGGTTATCAGTTAGATTTCAGAAGTGTTAAAGCTAATCAATCCAGTGCATTACTGATCCTGCTCTGCCGGCAATGCTAATTTTGCAAAGCTGATAAGAAATATTGATTGAAGTTTGCTGAATCTATGCTATCACCCATTTGGAGGCCCTTGCATTTACTGTAAATTCCTATGCAGATTTGTGAATTGTCATCCTTTTCAATCCATGTAGAATACTTTTCATACATCAGTACAGACATAAGTTATGAGTGGCAGGGGACGGGAGAGCAGGGTGGAAACAGGAAATATTTTACTTCAGTAAAACGGCCCGGGGTAAAAGATGTCCGCAATCATTTACACAATCAAATGTAGTTTTGCCTGCAGTCCTTTTTACTCTATGCTTCAATGCCATCACAACACAACCATCACAGCCAGGTACAGGTAGGCAAACAAGATATAGACCTGCTGCATTCACACTTCCTTTCTCAAGCATGTTCATGAGTATTGATATATAAGCAACCAAATAAATTATACAGCAGTTTTTAAAATTCTGAAATTTACCTTCAATTCCAAAATTAAGAGCTAAAGTCATTCTAAAACATCAAAATCTACCCTGATCCAGCCAATTCCAACAACTGGGCACACAAGTACTTCAAATGCTGAACTACATGACACAATGCATCAGACATAACAAAGTGCACAAGCAAACGAAAATCAAGCAAAATTCATGCGTCACCAAACACCAGAAATATGTTCAATTTAAAACAAATACGGAGTGCACGACGTGCAATCTTTTTAGCATGATCAACCATAAAGTTCCCTGCCGAACAGAAGGCATATTAGGCGCATCAAGCGGCGCCAATGGAAAGGATGCTTGTCGTATCACATACCTTGAGACCCGTTCCCAAAACAATCGCGTCATACTCTTCATCCATGATTACTAAATCTGACAGTAAACACTCAGAAAATATGTCCCAGCCCACCTCTCTCCTGACTAACCACCGCAGCGCCGCCCCTCCCCCGTCAACAGATTTCTTGTGTTGAAAAAATGTGATTCACTGCCTCATATGAAACTAGCATTTTTCTGTAAACTTCAGGCGCTCAGAGTAAATTCATCTGCATCAGAATGAGTCCAGTATTTGAAAAATCCAGTGAAAAAAAATGATTGCTCCGGTTCAACATCACAAGATGAATATTCCTCTTAATATCGCCTTAAACTACCTTACCAAGCTTCCAAGGTCATAGCCAGGGCAATAGAACATTGGACGCGTGTAAATCGACTCACGAGTGCATCTACAAAGAACAGTTCCTCTGCTTAAATCCACTACGAAGTGGATTTACACAGAATGCCACTCCTTTGTAAATCGACTCAGATCTGAGTTGATCTACACATAAACGCACTGTTGGGTAAATCCAGTTGTGAGTAGATCTACACAAGTGTGGCTTCAGGAGCAAATCGACCCAGATCTGAGTGGATTTACACAGGACCGCCATTCTGTGTATATACACTCCGGAGTGGATTTAAGCAGAGAAGGGTTCTGTAGATCCACTCATGACGTGATATACACAGAAGCGCCATTCTGTGTAATTCCACTCGTGAGTGGATTTAAGCAGAGAAGGTATTCTGTGTAGATTCACTCATGAAGTGATATACACAGAAGCGCCATCCTGTGTAATTCCACTCGCGAGTGGATTTAAGCAGAGAAGGTGTCTGTGTAGATCCACTCATGACGTGATATACACAGAAGCCCCATTCTGTGCAATGCCACCCGCGAGTGGATTTAAGCAGAGAAGGTGTTCTGTGTAGATGCATTCATGATGGATACACACACCTGTGAATTACATCGCGATGTGATCTGCGCAGGCGACAGAGCGTGTTCAACGCAGCGAACTGGCGAACTGATCTATGACTTACCGAATAAGGGAAAGGTGCGATTTCAGCAATCAATCAAACGCACAAAAGCTGAAAATATGCATTTGCCCATGCATAGCTTATTTTTGCATCACTGAAGCTACATATCTGCGTACTTTATTGAGAACATACCGTCCAGAGATGCGAATGTGTACACACACACACATATATTATATAATATAATATAGATATATATATATATATATATATATATATATATATATATATATATATATATAGTATGCGTGCGTTTGTGCGTGTACATGTGTATGTACCAGGAAAGGTAGATGCTGAACTTGTCATATTGCTTACAAGGCACGCCATGCAGCATCGCATGCTTGTCACCCGGTGGTTTGCAGTGTGCGGCTTTTATCCAGTCTTGGTAACGGTTGACGGGTAAGGGGTGCGGAGGGCTCCCAAATAAGGGAGCTCCTTGATAAATAAGGAGGGCTCCTTGATAATGAAACGCCCCCCCCCCCCATCCCCCATACACTCAAATTCGTCGGCTTTGGCCGATAGATTTCCACCGGCATGCTTTTGTGCGTGTTTTATGCATTTCTAACTTTCTTCATTGGGGCCAGAAGCCATGAAACGTACTGGCAAGCAATTTGCGGTCTGTATTTTATTGCAGGCAATAATTAACAGTAGGGAGGTGATGTTAGATGACATACAAAATAACGCATCAGTGTTATTCCTTTTAAATTGCTAAGCTGGTTCTATCCAAAGGGATAGACCTCAGAGCTTTGCCAAGTTTTTGTTCTGAGCTCTACAGAGACATTCGTGACCCCGTGCACTTTGAGTGTAGATGGAAATGGGGTCAGCAATTTTTTCACCTAGGCTAACTTATGTTCGTCTGGGGATGTTAAACGTTCTGTTAGAATTTATTAGTGATGCAACTTATGTAACAGTGGTTAGGATACGCACCTCAAGTCTTAGAAGCCAATCTAATGCTATGATGACATCTCCTCATGCAGTAATGCATCCTCGCTCAGAGTTTCAATGCGGCAAGTGTATCCTCGATTTCAGAGGTCAAGTCAGGTCACTTCCGATGAACCTAAGGTCTTGTAATTAGCATCTGTAATAGTACCGAGCATTCAAAAGGCAATGGTAAGAAATGGCCGACCCTACCCATAATATTTTCGAATGGGAGTACTTGAAGTCATCTTTGGAAAAACAGACTTAATTTAA